AGAGGGAGGGGTACCAGCTCTTTGGAAGACCATCGGCAGACTCTGCGTTTTTAGTCAAGGGACAAAAGCTGCTCCTATTTCTCCAGTGGAACAACAACCACCGCCATCAGATTTCAAAAGGGTGATTTAGAAACCAAGTCCAGGAGATGAACGGTCAGGTCTAAAGGGACAAAAGCTGCTCCTGTTTCTCCAGATTTCAACAGGGTGCTTTAGAAATCAAGTCCAGGAGATGAACGGTCAGGTCTGTATCTGGGTTAAGGGCGTTTTTATCCCCCTCACCCCAAGATCTGCACTCGGGGTAGAAAACCTTCCTTAAATAGATTGGCTGAATAAGAAGAAAAAGGTACAGACCCACCCACCCCCCTTGTGATTTTGAAGAGGAACTTAGAAATGCTGAGCTGTCTTGAGCTGAGATGGGAGGGGGGTTGAGAGTTTCCAGGAGAATCAAAGGATTCCTCTGTCCCGCAGAGCATTCTCTTCCTGCTCAGCAAGCAGTTCAGTAAATGCTAAGCATTTTATTTTCCCATTTACATACAATCAGGGCTTTATATTACGTCCACCTTCCTCCCATTACTGGGGCTCCTGGTGGCTCACAACATAATTGGGGGAAAATAGGTACAACTGAGAACATAGTAAGTTATACTGTGAAGGTGCAGGTCAGCAGAGTATTGTGTGAAGACAACAGCCATCCAAGTGGAAGCGAGGAGAAGCTGCTTAGCAGGTTGTCCCTTGCCCAGAGTTGGCTTTTCTAAATCATTGGCAGGGGCAGACTTGCAGGCAAAGAGAGTTTTAAAAAAATCTCACAGCCTCTTAAAGACGAATATGTTGTCTTTGGCCTGAGCTCTTGCGGACTTCCTGAGGTCCACAGGACGAAGTGAGCTGCAGACCAAGAGCACACGTGCCCAATAAAAGTTGCAAGTCTTCAAGGTGCCACAAGAGGGGTGTGGCTTTCTCGGGTTTTGCTCATGCTGTTCTGTGCCTCCATTCAAGCTTCCCTTCATGAAGACTTCAGGGGGAGGATTTCCCCCCCCTTGGGTTAGCCTGTCTCTCTGTCTTTGCCTCACAGTTGCCTCTGGGACAGTGAATGGAAAGGCGCTCCAGAGATGGGCTGGCTTGGGTTTTTGCTGCCCTAAGCTGATGTGGATGGCGGAAGAAATGTGGGCTGGAGGAGGAGAGGGGGCAGAAGCCTCTCTGGCCTGCCTCCACTCCTGCAGTGCCCGCTTCTGTTTGTGGCTGTGGATGGTTTAAGACCCAGCAATGATACACACTTCAGGGCTCAGGTAGATGCAGGAAGCAGCGGATCAACAGTTTCTCTCTCTGAGCCAGAACTGGCCCATAAGCTGCTGGTTGTCAACAGATGACTTTTAACTAGCAGACACTTCCCTGCTAAGAAAGGGACAGGCCGTTGCACGTTAGGGGGTGTCTTGCTGATTTCCTGTCAGACCGTTTCCGTATTCTGTCCTTGGTTTCCCTTGGGAAACAGGCAGAAGCTTGCCGTGAAATGCCTTTTATTCCTCGCTTTCAGAAAACCGTGCGAGACAAAGAGCTGGAGGGACTCCAGGTGAAAATCCAGCGCCTCGAGAAGCTGTGCCGGGCCCTGCAGACCGAGCGCAACGACCTGAACAAGAAGGTGCAGGACCTGTGGGCCCTCGCACCTTTGGCGGCCAGCGCAGATATCCGGGAAACACCCAAGGACCCATCCTCCCAGGGCGGCTCGGAGGCGCTGACCCCACAGGGCGCCACGAGGGGAGAGTGCCTTGCGCTGGCCCACGCCTCGGGCTTCACGGAACCTCCAGGGAGGCTCGGGGAGCGGGTCCCGGGAGCGCCCCCTCAGGACCAAGCGGAGGACGAGGCTGCGAATTCTGCCGAGTAGAGGAAAGGGTGGGTAGCCGGCGTTCTTCCCGAGAGACAGATCATTCCCCTCTCTGGGCCCCAGCCTGGGGGAGCCAGAACTCGGTCCTTCTGGGGGGGGGGGTTAAGGTTTCCCAGTTAAGGCTTTTGACCGTATTGAAGGCTTTTGGAGCGCCCCCTCAGGACCAAGCGGAGGACGAGGCTGCGAATTCTGCCGAGTAGAGGAAAGGGTGGGTAGCCGGCGTTCTTCCCGAGAGACAGATCATTCCCCTCTCTGGGCCCCAGCCTGGGGGAGCCAGAACTCGGTCCTTCTGGGGGGGGGGGTTAAGGTTTCCCAGTTAAGGCTTTTGACCGTATTGAAGGCTTTTTTTTGGTTTGTTTTGTTTTACTTTAAAAAAACATCACTATATGACATGATGTTGCGCAAGGCAATATCCACTTTTTTATATATAGCTCTATCAACAAGATTGATCCACTTCTCAGTGTGTTGCGTGGACATCTGTGTGGCAGTTTCACCAGAAAACCTTCCCAAGGAGGGGGATGAGGGAAACGGGCCACTGCTCCAAACCCCACCTGCCCGTCCCCATTCCCCCCCCTCCTCCCCCCAATGCCTCCTCGTGAATGGCTTCCATCTCTCTGGCTGCTACAGTTCATTAGGGGAGCTCGGCTGCTGTGATCGCCCACTGAAAGCAAAAGAAGTTGACCCTCACCAGGAGGGGCTTCGAAGGCTTCTTGTTTTCTCTCTCTTTCTTTTTTTATAAAAACCAACATGATCCAGCAGTTTAACCACCAGTACAGGAGACTCAGGAGTTTGCTATGTCCTAGGTTGTTATTTTTAGAGTGTAGGGTGTGTGTTTTTCCTCCCCCCCCCGTCCCCACTTCTTCCTGGAAAAGGGGAGAATAAAATGGATGTGTCTTTGGTTCATGGGAACAAGATGCAGCAGCTCCGGGCCCTGTTTGGTTTGGGGGAAACGGGGTGTCCTCTCCAGGACGTTGCTACTTCCAGAATCTGTGTCTCAATAGCCTTATGACTTCACCGTTGCCTCTCTACTTATATGCACACACGCACAAGTGTATGTATTAAAGATGTAATCCAAAGGTTTTACTTCCGCACGTATGTTTTGCACAGGACAAGTGTCCCCTCCACAGGGTTGTTTGTGTGTGTGGCCGGTGCCCTGCCCAGGGAAGGTACAGAATCCCGCCTCTCGGGTGTCCCTCCTCTTCTCTGTGGGACCTGGACACCGAAGTCCGTTGCAGAGGGGGACAAAGCCGGGCCTCCCCATCTGGGCACCTACCGAAAGCAGGCCCGTGGACTTAGCCCCAGCCTGGGCACAAACCAGCCGGGCAGGGACTGGGCTTCTCTTCCTTTCCTTGAACCGCACTTTCCACGGGCCGTCTCTTCCCCGCAGAGCCCTTCTGTCCGCGACAAAGGAGGTGCGCCCCTTTGGCTCTCGGTCACCCTGTTCTCTTCGGGCTCTTCTCCCTCTTGGGTCCAGATTTTGTCCACGGTTTTGATTTCGCGTTGCTTGCGAAGCTTAAACCCAGTGGCAGACTCCTTCGGTTCTGTCTGCCTCCTTTGCTTTTTTAAAGCATCCCTTCCAGGCAACTCAGCCGCGCAACTCAGCCGCCTCCTCCCCCTCCCCCCCCCAAAAAAAAACTTCCAGGTGGTTCTCAACCCTCTGCCTGGCAGAGCTGGCCTGCTCTTTCGTGAGGAGGTTGCTTGCTTTACGAGCTGCTGGGAGTTACTGCTTGAGGGCAGCCAAGGGAAGATGTTCTTGTATGGAAGGCCCACCTTGCAAACGCTGGTGGAGCAAAGAAACAACTGCTACTACTACTACAGGTGAATGTAAGTGGAGGCCACAGCTTGGCTCTGAGTTGACAGGGATGAGGATGCTGGTTTAAAGCCGAAGTGACCACCTCTGTCCAGATTTTTCTCTTGGCTTCTGCCGATTCCAGAAAACCTTCCGACTTTTATTTTTTAATGCTGCAGTATAAATAGACTAGATCTGTTGTATGTATCTTTGTATCCAATAGAAACTAACATTAACTTGCTGATGGTGTCTCCGTGCTGTTTTTTTCTTCTCCTGCATGGTTTTGAACTGGGAGGCGGGCTGCGGAGCTCAGCATAGAGGCGCCATTTCCAGACACACACACACCTGGCATCCCTTTCGCTCCCAAATGCTTGTTCAGGGGGAAGTGTTTTCAAGCAGAATGGGGAACAGTCAACATGTGTTAATAATGCTAATAAGGGTAAGGTTTGGCTTCATTAGGTAGAAAAAGTAAAGCCCGGGTCACTGTAGTGTAGAAGAGACACAAGTTCCAGTTTTCTGCCTCTTGGTGCAAAGCCTAGACTTATGTACAGGGTATTTATTTATTTCATTTATATACTGTCCTAGTGTAATGCACCATTCTGGGCAGTTCACAGCACAAGAAAAAAAATCAAAGCATGACATCAGCTACGATAAAATCAGAAAAAAACAAAATTTAAGTAGCATCAAAGGACAAACTGCAGAATAGACTTATTAAAATATGCTGTAGGAGAGGCGTTTATGCAAGGGGTGGAGAAATTCCTGCCTGGGGGGGGCGCAAGCCAGCCCTCGCTTTCAGAAGCTGCCCCCCCTTTTTACAGCTGTGTAAAGGCATGAAGGCTGCTTTCCCCTTTGGCACAAGACAAGCATGCCTCCCCACCCCCCCGGCACCCTTTGGTCAGGTTTTGCTCTGCATCCCGATGAGGCCAGCCAATTTTGGGTCTCGGATTTCGGATTTCCGGCAAGGAATCAGGCAAAAAATGCAATAGCTGAACCAAAGGTCTGAATTTATTCTGAATATCAAAGAGCAAGAAAAGGTCAGCTGGGACTTTCCTTAAAAGCAGAGAAGACCCCCCCCCACGAACATATAAAGTACATACATTTTATAATGCCACAGACAAAGAGTCATAAAATGCTACCAATCTATGGGTCATTTGTACCCCAAGTTTGGATCCAGTCCCTCATTGGGCAAATGATGCCAACTAGGCTGATCTATGGGTTCCCTATAGTAGATGCGCCAATTGTGCGCCCTTGGCCTCTCTCTGCCCAAGATGCCCCTGCCTGAATGCCCGGGGAGAGCATCCTCTCTGTTGGCATGTGGATGGGTTTTCTTCCCGGGCCCTGAGAGATGATGGCCTTCCATGCTGTGATCCCCCCCCCTTTGTGAATGTTCCAACGATCATCTTCTTCCTCCTCCTCCTCCTCCTCCTCCGGGGGGGGGAGGGCGACTGTTCCATCCAAAAGGTGAATTGGGCAAAAGGGGAAGCGCGACCGGGCTCTTCTCTCGCGCGTCCCCCATAAAAACCCTTTTTGCGCCAGGTCGGGGTGACTGATTTGCAGGGCGAAGGTCTTTCCGGGGACCGACCGGCGTTCCCTCTTCTCGCCTCGCCAGTTTTAAAACCCGGTTCCCTCTTTACCGGGTCTCCCCACCACTCACCCCCCAACCAGACCGCGACACAGATGGGCCGGCTGCTTCCCGGGGCTCCCACCGCCTCGCCGGGCTGGAGGGGAGGGGAAGGGCGGGCGTGGAGGGACCGAGGCTGCCTCCTCCTCCGCCGGTGCGCGCGGCAGTGGGCGGCGGGGGACGACCGAGGA